AAGACCTAAGGTTGAGGAGGACCGGGTTAGAGTGCTTCTGGAGGAGCTGGATGTGTTCAAGTCAGCAAGTCCAGATGCTCTCCACCCCAGGGTGTTGAGGGAGCTAGCAGAGGTTATTGCTGGGCCCTTGGCATGGCTTTACGAGTGCTCGTGGTGCTTGGGCCAGGTGCCAGATGATTGGAAGATAGCCAATGTGGTCCCCATCTTTAAAAAAAAGGGAGGAGGGAGGACCCGGGCAGCTATAGGCCCTTCAGTCTTACCTCAATCCTGGGGAAACTCTTTGAGAAAATCATCAAGGAACACATCTGTGATGGGCCGGCATCAGAGATGATGCTCAAGGGCAACCAGCACGGTTTCATTAGGGACAGGTCATGTCAGACCAACCTGATTGCCTTTTACGATCAGGTCACAAAAGCATTGGATGCAGGTGTCACCGTGGATGTAGTCTTTCTGGAAATAGAGGCATCAGGGGGTAAGTGACAGCCTGGAGGTGGGGGTAGGGTGGAAAGGGGGATGTAGCAGTGCAGGTATAAGTGCAGATGTGCCTGGGGTGTCAGATGTCTGGCAGGTCGCAGTGTGCCAGAATTCCACTGTGTATATGGAGTCCATGAGTTTCTGTACCTACTACCTAGGAGACTAAGGAAATGCAATTCATAGGCCCAGCTCTGAAAAGTGGTTTGTACATTCAAACAAGCACCTAACCTCATCATCAGAACTGAAGCCTGATCCTGAGAGGGAACAAATTACAATGCAAACCACTTTTCAGAGCTGGGCCTATGAGCTGCACTTCCTCAGCCTCAATAGGGACATGTTCTTCCCCTGCTGGCTGGTGATGCAGTTAGTGCCCCCTCCAGCTGAGAGCGGGGCATTACTAGGCTTTTAAAAAACTCAAAACAGGAAATTGATGCAGATGGAGTGAGGAGGGTGGCACTCAGTCCATCTGCAGGTGGAGCTTGGGGAACCCCAGCAGCGGGAGGTTCATCTTTAGGAACACCAGCTGCTCCACCAAGCAGAATCCAAGCAGGTGAGGTGGGGCATCACAACATACCCAGCAATGATGAACACCCTCTCGCTTGGAACACTGGTTGGTGG